GGGGGGGGGGGGGGGGGTGTAACTTCGGGATTGGCCCTTATGCTTTTTTTTGAACGCCGATTGTTTTTTTTGAACGTCGGCCTCCTGTGGTGTAGTGGTTGTAGCGCTGGCTCTACAATCAGGAGGTCCCGGGTTCGATTCCCGGCTAGGCGACCCGAATTTGATGGTCTCAAACAATGGTTGCCTTGGGCTGGTACATGGTAGGGACGGAGGGGGGAGGGGCTCTAACTGGAAGCGTATGGATTACCACTTGTGTGGTATTTGAAGTAATAAAAAAAAATTTGCACCCATGAACTTTGATAAATGCAGAGGGTGTTCCTCCTTTGGTCACCTTGTAGCGGAAAACTTTAAGGCGTTTCGCACCTGAACCACGTTGGTTTGAATGGGAGAACTTTTGAAAAAAAAAAAAAAACTTGATCAAGGAAAACAATTTTATATCAACTCGGAGTGGCAAAATTTCATGCAAAATAAAATCACGAAATTTTACGTGAAATATATTTCATGAGATTTCGGAAATTTATGAAAGATATTGAAAAATACCGGTTCATAATCATTCTTTGCAAAATTTAAAAATTGTGACTTGCTTCAATTTTCGTGTGTTTGAGTGCGGGTTGCATACTCTAGCCCCTGAAAAGTATGAAATATTTCACAACTTTATAAAATGTCATGAAATATTTCACAGAAATGTCCTATCTTTCATTTCTTTCTCACGATTCATGCACGGAAAAAAATAAAATGTTTATTTAGCATGTATAATCCTGGAAAAATGTGCGAGATGTTTCAAATGCTGATTTTACATTAAAAAAAGCTAACTTTACTTTTGAATACGTTAATTTAACCGTGGCCGCAGTTAAGTTAGCATTTTTTTAATGTAAAAACAGCATTTGAATCTTCTCGCACATTTTTTTAACATAATAAATGCTAAAGCAACATTTGATTTTTTTCCGTGTGCCACCCTGCCAAAGAACACTCCTGTGATCCGGTAGTTAAAATCCGAGACATCCTGTCTAAAACGCTGGCGAACCATTTAGTCCCCCCTTCCCGGCGACTGCTGAACTCTCAGTTTACAAGTGACACATTTCACACAGACGAGTGCACTAAAATACCCACGTTCAGAACCACTCAAAGCAGAGCAAAGAGGAACTGCGAGGAGGGAACATAAGCACTCCGGGCCAGGGGCGATAAATGCAAACCCCACATCCGTCCGAGTAAAAGTTTTAACGAGACTTGAATGGGGGCCCGGAGATGAAATTATCGCGGAATCCCTCGTAAATCTCATCCTTCCCGGGCAAAAACCACGCATCTACACAGGACCACCCCATCGCAGTTACGATGTTCTGTCCTCAGCCCCTGAGACTCGTATAGCGTTGGCTGAGCACATCATAATTCGTGGAGCTCCGCGGCGTTGGAGAGGGGACTTTCTCGAGAGATCTGGCAACGGTGTCCGGAGATGCAGCCCCCGGAAGTTTAGAACCGGGTTAATTATTCCGCACACAGTCATTGTTTCCGCGGCGTTATCGAACAAATCGCGTTTAAAATTCAATCGAAAGGTGGATCTGGAATCAGTGAATCCGGGCCGACGCACAGCGGATTGAGTCATTGGAGATGCCGGACAAAATCTGGAAACTTCAAACGCTTATAACTTCGTCTATGCAAAACTTTGAGGTTCTAAAAGTGATTCCATTGGTTTCCTCGTGGAATTTTCTTCTTGAGGTACCCCTTAAAGTTTAAAATGTGACGAAATAAACATCGAAATTTGCAGTTTTAGTCAAACATTTGAGGTCGGACCTCTCTGATTGGCTCAATCCATTGTGCGACGGGACGAATGTATGTGCAATGTGCATATAAGTGCTCGTGTGATATTGAAAGTGAAGTATTGGAATCCGTAACGACAGGGCCTCTTTCAACCATATCTAGCGGGTTTATAATTGATTGAAATCGATGGACATAGAAATAGACAAAGAAATTGGAAGGAAAACACGAGAAAAATAGGATAGTTATCACAATCAGCGGCTGCATGGTTAAAAATGCACCAGTTACCGTGTGGTAGTTACGATAACTACCGCGGTAGAGGACACAAACCCGGTATTTACTATAACCGCACCATGACAGTTGTGTTCTCTGCCGTGGTGGTTATCGTAACTAGGTCGTCAGAGAAAAGTCAAAGAATTTTAATCATTTTGAAGGAAAAGTTAGAAAATTAAAAAAAGAAGGGTCAGAAACTTACTATCACAGTTGCGGAAAAGTCTACGAATATTAACCAGGTTAAATCTGAGATTTCTAGAAAAAAAATTCTAAGGATATGGATCGCAGTTCGTAAGAAACGAATCGAAAAAATAAGATAGAATGAGAATATTGGAGACAATCGGGGAAATGGGACTGCTACATGGGTATTTTCGTATTCGGAGCATCGCAATAAGGAATTGCTAAGTGTCGTTGTCTGGAAATGGTGATCATTCAACTTTCCCTCTGAAATTGTGGGAGCTTTTTGGCAGTAGGTGGCAAAATAAAAAAAGTTCTAATACTGTCGTATTAGAAAAGCGCTTAGGTGTTAGTCAATGTATTTAGTGAAGAGAGGAAGTATAAACTCCGTCGACTTGGCTGGGAAATGGAAACAAAACTTCAGCTGATAGCAAACAAAGGTTACCAAGGAAACCGTAAACGCGTATTTTTGTTTCCCGAAAATGAGCTCGCCGTTGAGCTCATCAGGTGCGTTTTTTTTTAGGCTTCATTTGAGTTCAACGATCAATTTCGATAAGAATTACTCTACCGCTAAGAAATTTTTTTATAGACAAACGATCGAAACTACCTGCGCATTACGTTAAAAGCATAAAATACAGTTTTCACAACTTTATTTATTTTAAAACTGGACCCCCCCCCCCCAAAAGCCTACACATCGATGAGCTGGTGCGTCATTTAAAAGAATTAGCACTAGTATACTAGTACTTTAGAGGCAAGTCGAAATCAAAAAACGCTGTCTATATCGGCTGAGCGCTTAAAAGAATACATATAAGGAAGTTTAAAACGCGTAGTCAGGAATTGTTAGGCAAAGTTGCCTGGAAAATAAAAAGTTAGGGTGGCATATGGTTTTTCACATGTACTCTAAGTTGGAAATAAAGCTCCTCGTAATTTAATTCCTCTAAATTTCGCGTGAAACACGTTGCACGCTACGAAAAGTTCGGAGAATAAGTCGTAAATGAGCGAGTAACGTTTATAATCAACGCTACTTAATGATAATTGAAGAGCGTATGACGTGGACTGTTTTATATTCAATTAAGAGAAGTTACAAACGTTACTCTTTCTGTCAGACGTTCATTTCCGAACTTTCCTTCCGATGTTTTCCACGCGAAAAGTTAATGAGAAAACGTAAAGCGCTGCATCGTGATTCATAACTTCTTCTCACATACGCTGCTGAGCCAAGGAAAAACGCCGCATGAACCCTCAGGCGTTTCCAAATGAACGTATTTCTATCAAACAGAAGTATGTGCAGCTGAGAAATATGGGGTGTGCTCTGGAAAGCTGGATAAGAAACAATGTGGTGAGTGGGCGTGATTCCTTTTGAAGAATTGGAAAAGCGGGATTTTAAATTCAGCCAACAGAACTATGTGCCAACTGAATGCGGGACTCATGAGCCACGGGCATGGCACGAGAGCGTTGTGGACAGGGCTCATGAGTTAAAGCGAAAGCGGAGGCGGGACGACGGCGGTTCCATCTCCGTTGACGTCACTGGCGCTTTATTATTTTCGTTCACTCTTACGGCCAGAGAACTAACGAGCACACCCCATATTTCCCACCTGCACATAGTTCTGTTCGATAGAAATACGTCCAAATTGCCTTTGATAAAACACGAGTCTATTGGGGGAATTGGTGAATATTTTTCTCGCAATTTCCTCGAAAATTTTGTTCGCAATTCAACGTCAGATATCTGAAAATGTCACAAAAACATATACATGACTCTTCCAAAATAATTTTTTTATCGGGAGGAATTTGGCAACATTCGAATGTTCATATGGCGTTTTTCCTTATCACAACAGTGCTGCTCGCTGAATTCAATGGAGGTTCTTGCCGCTTTTGCGGAAGGATTCGGATGAGGAGGCTATAAACTTTCTTACGGTAAAACTTTAGTATAATTGACTTTAAGATGGTTTTAGAATCCACCGAGTGCGTTTCCTATTTTTCTAATATGGTTGCGTTGAATTCATTGTTAGTTTCGTCGTATTATCCTACAATACAATTACTTTGCCTCTATTTTTTCAACCGAATCGCATCTCCTCGTATACATATTATGTCTCATCAGTTAAGCTGCTATATCCTTCTAGGATAGGGAATTTGCATAAACAATGAATATAAGCAGCGAGTTACCGAAAGTGCTAGTCCTCTCATTTTCTTCTCATATTCCCTCCAGCCCAACGACGTTTCTTTCTGCTATTTATTAGTTCTCTTTAGAAGCGTATTTTTGTTGATGATCGGTCGAGCTAAAATACCGCGGTAATGGCGGCGAGATCATAATCGAGTTGGTAAACATTTGATATTAGACTTTCGAAATTGATGTTGGTCGGATGCCATTATCTTCATCTGGTCATTTCTAAACCCTTCTTTTTGTAGGGTTATATTTTGGCTCCAACGTTTGCAAGAATTTCACCTTCTATCTGTCTGGTGAGTCCCGATGCTG